CCCCCCCCCCTCTCTCGGTATATAATATTTATGTTATACACACACACAGTCAATACCTGCTCTAACAGACCATCTGCATAAAATAATCACGCAAACAAAACGCCACTTCCTATTTTCCCCACGTGTGTGTTATTTTTATTACATTATAATTACAGTGTGCGATGTATACCGGTCTAAGACGGCCAATTTTCTCTTTGATTAAGTGTGGCCGTCTCTCTCTATACTTTGATATCTTCAAAGCATCAGAGGATATAAATGTATTATTTCTTTTGGTCTTTGAGTGCTAGGGTAGGACACCTATTCTTATCACCCTCCCTTTCCTTCTTTGCACTTGGTGAGCCTTTGTTGGAAAGATTTTCGTCTTCAGATAAACACACCGTTCTTTGTTCTAGATGTTGTTTTTGGCCAATGACCTTATGTGGTTTTGCAAGTGACTATCATTGCATCCGAGCTGTTATCAATTATTTTTTATGAAAATCAAATTGCTCTTTTTTAATATAATGCAGCTCCACCTTGTAGTTAACCCATCGTATTTAGTTTATTTTCTTTAAAAAGGAAAATGTATTATTTTCCTGCTCTGAAGAAGGTTGAAAAAAAAATATTGGTTACAGATTATGCTGAAGCAGCTGTCAACTTTCGGTTTCGCTTCGCGAGAAAGATAAAAAAAAATTGTTTGCGCGTCGCTTGGTAGATTATCAGGGAAGCCGAAAGTGGGCCATTATGGAAGATACGACCACTGTAAGCTGTTTACTTTCGTTCGTCGCTATCCTGTAATTGAACTTGGCCTGTTAGAAGTAAAAATCTGGGGCTTATACTTTTGCCAGTGTGGTTTCGTTGGGCTCTTCGTAAGTCAAAGTGCACCATATAAGACCGCCTTAGTTTTATTTTCTATTTGGTTTAGCATTCATTAAACTTTTACCATCAAAGATTTCAGTTTCCCAAAGCACTCGCAGCATGTTTATGTTTGCCAACCACCGCTCAATTACATAGAATTTAAATTTGCTTTGTTGCGAGTGAAATACGAACATCTACAATGTAGTTAAATACACCCTTATCTGGCAAGCACTTTCTGCCTTCCCGAGTTACTTCCTGTTCATGAATGAAATGGTCGACATTATTGCCTCACAGAGGCTGTCCAACAGTAGCATTTATAAGTGAAAAGTTGGTATTAAGGAATATTTGACTTTGAAAGGTTTACTTGGATTTATCGCAAGGTACATTCCTTTTAACTATTAATTAAGCATCCGTGTAAGTTCTATTGTAGGGTCAAAATCGTTTGCTTACGCTGGCTGGAGAAAAATGTTTGCATTCTTCTTGAAGAAGCCAAACTGGCCAACCCAGTCGTAGGATGTTTTCACCTTTATCAAACTCGCCGATACTGTTTTGAGTTTGATCCGAATTAGTCTAGAATCTAGATTTGTCAACTAATCCGAATCGTCGTCTTTCAGTAATAATATGGTGGGCAAAATGGGTGAAAGAAAAGTTACGATACATTTTTACTCTCACTCCCGCACACAGATGCACTGTTTCGAAGATTCAGAGTTTCTTGGACTTGGGTCAACAAACTGATGCAGTCAGTTCAGTTTTTGCTGCAGAAATTTGTCAAGGTATTGGGAACAATAATAATGTTAATGATCTCCCCCCCCCCCCTGCTAAATTCACAAAATAAAGGTTTGTAGCAGTTTTTAGTGCCGCCTAGATCTAGATAGATTCTAGTCGCAAAGGGGGTGTATACAGACTCGGTAACCGGGAACAAAGTCACGAAGTTAGACCCGGTTGGGGAAATCTTTTAAAATTTTGTGATTTCAGAAAGTTAGGTATTTTTTTACTTTCCCTCCCGTCTCACACTCAGCTACCAGTTATCTATTTCCTACTAAATATTGATGCGCTGAACACGAATATCAACTTCATTTCCGTCGCAAATTAATAGTTTTTGAAATATTTGATTGTTTTTAACCGAGACAGACATGCTTTGGACCAATTGGGGGGTTCCAGGGGGGCCTGCCCCACTGGGGTAAAAGAAAATCTGGGGGGTTACACCCATAATTTGATATTTTACAGTTAGATTTGAAATTGTCTTGAAAATAATGGATTTGCGACAGTTTTAGTGGCTTTATGTGTGATCTGCAGCAAACAGTACAGCAGTTTGACCCCTGAAACAGTGCATCTGTGTGCGGGAGTGAAAGTAAAAATTTACCGAAAGTTTCAGCACCCTCTTGTCTCAGGGTAGACTTCTTATTCTTCTAGATCTTCTATGGCCTAGGTCCAGATCTAGAGAGGTTAGTAGACACTGACTGACGTAAACAATAGATAGATCTAGTTTCAAGGCCTAGATCTAGTTTCTAGAGATTTTCGGACCGCTAGATCTAGATTTTAGATCTTTAAATGAAGATTCGGATGTCTTTTCGATGAACGATCGTTTTTTCCCTCCATTTTGGATTTGGAGGAACTCTAAGACAATTTGAGAAAAAGAACAATGTCATTTAATTTCAATCAAGCAGTCACCCTCTCTATTAATTTCTCTGTCTCTCTCTCTCTCTCTCCCCTCTCTACTTTATTTCTGCTTGCCGCCCCCCCCCCCCCCCCCCCTGTATGTGTGTGTGTATCGCTCGCCTTCCTTTGTCTTTGTCTCTCTGTCTTTCTTTCTCCCCCACCTACTTTCCCACTATATCTTTCTCTCGTTTCTTCCTCTCAACTGGAGCATGATAATCACAATCTTTATTCATTTCGATTCTCGCTGCCCCTTGGTCGTTAACAATGGCAGTAGACGTTATTACGAAAGTTAGACCTAAAGGTGCACTCACGAAAACGTACAAGACAGGACATTAGGCCTAGTAATAGTAAATACATGTCTCACATGCTGGGACTACCTGCTCCGTAAAATATTTCTTTCTCTCTCTCTCTCTCTCTCTCTCTCTCTCTCTCTCTCTCTCTCTCTCTCTCACTCACTGCCCGTAAACAAAATTGCACGCTTTCGACATAAGAGCGCTGAAACGTTTGCTTACACTGGTACAATGTATCACAGTGAACGCACACTGGGTGAGAATAGCCAAAAGGCACATGATCTTCTCGTCCGGAGTGATCGGCCTGAGCCGATGCACTAGGCGATGAACTGATTTTATGGTAAAAGTTTAGTTCGCCTAAACTTTGTCTGGGGGGCTCTCGTGGCCCAGAGGTTAATGTGAACGCCTCTAATTCAAAAGGTCCTGGGTTCGAATCCAGGTAGCAACGAAAAATTGTAATTCTCTAAAGTTGTCTCCTTTCACCTCTTTCCTGCTCTCTAGCATTGTTATGTTGTCTGTTTTCTTCTCCACTTTCTGTCCCCACCCGCTCTCCTCCTCTGGACTCCTGAGTCTTTTTGCAGCCTTTCTACTGCTACTCCTTGACTCCTTTTTACTGCTGTCTTTCAGTCACACCCCTGATCTTATGGTAAGAAAGATCTACACATATAGCTTTCTCAGACAAGGGCGAAAAATTTAGGGGGTCCCATTTGCAAGTTGTAAAGGTCCCTTGGTGGTCCAAAATCAAGAGTATGCTTCGGCCGCCACCGGGCAGAATTCGAAATTTCCTACCAACTTTAAATGTTTGATGTGTACTGTTGGCTCATATGATCTTTTATGCCTTTGCGAGCGCCGTAAAACATTTACCACCCGTAAAAAAAACAACCCCAAAGTTTTGTCTCATCATAAATGATTTTTCATAAACTTAAAGGAAGCCTTTTATCCTACATTTTGTATTTTATTTGGTGGTAGTGTGAATAAATTTATGGGGATAGTTCAGTATAAACTTGGTTGTCTCTGCTTGTGTTTTCTATTACTAAAACTTTCACTCACTATATAAACTGTTTGGAAATTATTTTTGTTGTTCATCAATGAATAACGATTGAAAGTTTTCTTAAAATACCCATCCTTAGAATTTTACTTTTTACACTTACCCAACAGCTAAAAAAATAGTGCTCCTGTGTGGAAGACATAATTTATAATATGCTAGTGTTATGAGTCAGTACTTTATGTTTTTGCGAGCACCGTGAAACCCCATACTAAACTTTAAAACTTTGTAATGAAAGGTTCTTTGCATCTTTATAGGTTTACAACGTGCAGGAAGTCCAGTGAACCTAGGTTTACTGTATCCTAAAAAAAGGTCTGTGTTACATTATATTCATTTTTTTTTATTTCTCAGATATTCGAGGAAATTTGTAGGTGAAACCCAGAAGTCAAACGTTTTCTCTGGATATACTTTCTAAGGAGGGAATGCTTCTCTGAAGCATATCCTGCATCCGTGATGAGTTCCTACCCAGCTTACCCTCATAATGGCCTGTATGGACCACCCACATCAGTTCCACCGGGCATACCACCAGTGCCTCCTGGTGTCTCGGCCGCCTCGTTGGGCCTGAGGCCGGCACAGCACCATGTTGGTATCCCCATGGCCCACCAGGGACTTCCTCCAGGTGGGCAAGGGGACGGATCACAGATGGTGCCCACTGGCCTACAGCCAGGAGGACATGGTATGCCGCAGACATCCCAGGGCCTTCCTGGGGCTGGCCACCCGGCCTGGTGCTATTTGCCCCCTATGAGCTCTGCTTCAGTCCTACCAGTGCAGCCTCCTGACAAAGAGGATAAGTTTAATTTTGGCTTCACCACAACAGAACTTCCAACTCGTCTCTTGAACAAAGATGTGATTGACTATGCAGTGAGTGCAGGGCAGTCCATTGCCAATCAGCCCAACCCAAATATGTCAGTGGATAACACGACAGGCACATCAAACATTGCTCTACCTCATGAGCCTGTCATGGAGAGGCCTCCAGCTCCTAAACCCAGCAAGCCGCGAAAAGTTGGAGGAGGGGGGCGATCAAGCTCAGGGAAAAAACGTCAGCGTCAACCAGAACTGTGGAAAAAGAATGTGTCCAAAGTGAAAAAGATTCGTGGGGAGGCTCATCTGAGTCGTAACGGAACATACATACCTGCCAAGCAGGTGGAGACAGTGGACTGTACTGCTTGTAGTTTTAAGTGTAATGAGAATTTCTCAGAAGATCTTCGCTCACAGTTATTCAACATGTTCTACAGCCTGGGATCCAACGAGAGTCAGAAGCAGTTTGTCTGTCAGAACGTGACAGAAGAGTCCACCAAGCAGAACAATAAAAAGACTGAGGATGGTTCCACCAGGGAGAACAGACGCAAAGTGAGTCGAAAATACTACTTACCAGAGAACGACAACAATCGGAAACAAGTGTGCTCTCGTTTTTTTCGTGGCACGCTGGCTGTTGGAAAGTCATTTATCACCCATGCATTAAAGCATAAGCAGTTTGGCTGCTATATGGGCCAGGAGAAGCGGGGAAAGCCACACAACAAGACACCGTCAGACCAGGTGGACATGGCACGTTCGCACATCGTGACCATTCTGTGCATGGACACTAAGAGTGGCAAGAAGAAGAGTGTGAAGAAACGTTGTGCAGAGAAGGGGCTCACCGTAGCCAAAATGTATGAAATGTTCAAAACCGATTGCATGGCCAAGAACGTATCTCCTGTCAGCCTCAGCATTTACAGAAGGATCTTTCACACAGAGTTTTAAACTGTATATTGTGAACCCATTTCCAAAAAGTATTGTACTTGTCTGTTTACTAAGCATGGTTAGTGTCCCTCTAATTATTTGTCAGTTTACTTTTCTCTTCTCTTCTGTTACAGCTCTCTCAATATTGATTATTACTATTATATCTGTAAGTATGACAATAGTTCCCTATATTGGCATGCTCCTTCTCTCCTGTCATTGACATAAAAGGCAACAACTAGTCTGTATAAAAAAGAACATGATGTCATAATGAACGATGATGACATGAATTGTACGTGCCTGAAGTACACTTTTTTGTTCATCTTTTAACCTCATCATGTGTTTCTATGTTTACTTGAATTGTAGCTTGTACTACTGTCAGTTCATGGTTTACTCCCTTCTGGTTTGATTCCCCCAGATTTTGTAATTTTACTCTGTGCCTGTGTCTCTGGCCTTGTAATGGTTACACTACACTATTTCATTTTACATCCATCTAGTAAGGTATAACCAAAAGTTTTTTTTCTTAACTGTTATCTAAAGGGATCTTCAAGGCCAAATGCTGTCATGAACAAAACCTCCTGCCACAATACTATCACCCGGTTCTGTCTCTTTCACTGTTTTTTTTTTTACAGCATAAAAGCAGGTGATTTGAGGGTGTCCCCGATAGGTCCTTTTTTTCTGTCCCCCTGTTTTTTTTCTGTGTGTGTGTCTTAGTTTTTTCCCTCCAAAAGTAATGACAACTATTCTGTCTGTGTGCTTGTCTTTACTTGAACAAATATGAGGGCATAGTGAGCATTTTCAGTCATGTGAACAAAGCACTGCAGTGAAGGCTTTTTCAGATGCCTTTCATGAAATACAGATAGTTGTGAAGCAGGACTGTGAAGCTGCAGCTCTGTCCGTTCCTTTAGGATGTTTGGTAGTGAGAAAAAACAAGTCAATGTCATGTTTTCTAAGATATGATTTCTAAAGTGTCCCACCAACTCACCATTGTCATGATTATCAGATAATTGTAATCTTATTGTATTTTATGTGTAGGGAATGAAGTCCATCCATTTTGACTCCCCCTAAGGACAAAAATATAGCTTTTTATCCAGAACTACTAGTGATAAGAGGGCTTTTTCTTCACATTCACAGGCTCCTAATCTTATTCTCTTATTGTCTCTTTAATAATACAAAAATCCCAAGAAAAAAATGGCGGACTGGCTCACTCATCTACTACTTTACTACATTCTTCACAACACTGTTTACTGTACCGGTAGTTTACTCACAGGAAAGAAGCTGTGCTAACTGACCCTATACATGATATACCTAGCACACTTCACTAGACGTAGTATCACACTGCAGGGTGTGATACTTTCTGAAGCAGTCTTTGGGATGCGGGTAGGGTTTGTCAGAACATCAAGTGCAGAAGTACACTACACTGTGCTCTGGGGCTGACCCGTCACACTTTTGCTACAGTGGTGTAGCCACACTTTCTCATTCTGCTGAATGTTTTTTCTCTTCACTGACTCTTCCTGCGTCTAAATTTGCATTACAGTTGTGTAAATGGAGTGCATGTGTATGCAAGTCCAATGTTGTGGTAGATATTTAAGTAAGTAATATCAATTATTATGCAAAAAATTAGTTACAGAAGATGAGAGATGTTCTCATGTATGTTCTGACATGTTGAGAGAGTCCTTATGTTATATTTTCTTCCAAAGGCATAGTATAGACCCATTGCAGATGGTGTCACAACAACTATATTTATGCTGTAATGTTTTGGCACTGGATTTTCCCCTTTCTTGTGGGGTGTCTGTTGGCTGCTCTGAGTATGGACTTGAATCATGACGAACACAGCTAGAGCCTAGTAGAGATCTTCTACTACCTACTATGTGTGGTGACTGGTTATTACGTACCATAGCCTGTTCTCAAAGGACAGCTGCATTTAAAACAGTTAAGTCTTTGAGTTCTGTCTGATTCAAAGCTAATAACATTTACAAAAGTTCTGAGATGTCGAACCCACAGTCTGCACCGAAACTGAAGTATACGATAGTAAAATATCTCTACACCCAATCCATACACTTTTGAATCTGAGTGTTTTTAGTAGTCACTTTTACACCTCATAATATGTTGTACGCAAACAAGGTTTCTGAATTTGTTCAGTAGATTGAGTACATTAATGTACCGTTCCTGAATAGGAGATTGGGCTCATATGACCTTATTATGCAGTTGCGAGCGCCGTAAAACCCTCTACTATAAAAAAATTAATAAATTATAGGAGATTATCAATTATAAAATTTGTCTCATTGTGTGTCAGTTTATATGGCCCACTGTACATGTATATATATATATATGGGGCATTGTGGTGAAATCAGGTGCTCGTCAATATATTAATAACAAAATTGGAGAAACAGGCATTTCTCCGCCAGTTTGGCAATTTTTATCGAATTTTTGTTTTTTTGGCTCATCCCCACCATTTATGTCCTTATAAAAACAAATTACCATGTGAATTTTACTGACAAATGTTGATTTAAGACACAAAATATGTCATTTTTCATTTCAAAGACTCTTTATAGCTCTTGGAGTTTCCAAACTTTGGCGGCCATTTTTTAGCTCCTTTCACACTGAAACCAGACGACCACACCTCTTTCAATTGTAAATATCTTGACTTCAATTCAAGATAGGTGGGTATTTTTTTCACTTGAAGCAAGGCAAATAGACAAGCTTTCAGGTGATACCAATAACTCCACATGCCAAAACTTGATGAGCGCCTGATTCCACCGCGTCGTGACACATATGTAGTAGGTTTGAATACCAGTACTAGAGGTATTTTACATCGTTTTTGTAAACTTGTCACCAGTGCAGAGTCCAGTGCAAAACATTTCAACCAGTTTAGTTAATTTGGATTTTTTATAAATCCTTTTTTTAAACAAATGCGCACAATGTTGAATACAGCAGTAAATATAGCATGTATGAAATGTCAAACATGTACAGTAGTGGCCCAAAATTAAACAATGGAAAGACATTTTTCTGTGGTATTTGAGCTGAAGCCATCTCTTTAGATGAGTGGAAGTGTTCCAGGTTTTTCCCCTGGTGGGAGTCAAACCCTGGTCTGCTTGTTGCAGAGATGGGTCTCAAATGTTTGTTTAAGTTAAAGAATTAAAAGTAAACACGTACAAATTATACAATGTACATGATGTCACGTGATCAGGACTGTTGGAGGTGGGCTGCTCTTCCTACTTAGTTGAAAGACCAGAAAGTGAATTTGCATCTTATATTTAGTATTTAGTTTTAAACATGATGCAAATTATTCAATGTGTTGTCATAATGCTGCAACCTGTCAAGGTTCTTATCAGTTGGTTTACAGATGTGGATGAGAATCTGTTGATGTAATAATACCTATAAAACTTATTTGTGGAGGGGGTTCTTTTGGACATAAAACTAAAGGGTCAGTGTCTGTATAAGTGAAGTTTTTACATTCTTGATGTAATTGTAACATCATCATGTAATGTTTGATTGTTGGTCTGAAGTTGGATTTGTTTGCAGACATTGTAGATGGTGGACTTGTTTTGGTTTCATACTGGTAAAAGATTTTGTGGTTTGGGGGAAGGGGTGGTAGTTTATTTAAGTGATGCAAAAAAAAAAAATCATCCCGTGCTCTGTGCTGTGGAGGGGTTTTTTTAATCTGAAATTTTTAAAAATGCCTTTACAGTGTCCTTTTTGAGAACATTTATTATTGAGATCTGGTTTTGTTATAATAAAAAGGAATCTGATGCTATATTAATGATGTGGGTGGTGAGTGAATGTGATATAAGCAGGGATTTTCCAGCTACCAGTATTGGACAATTTCTACCAGAGATAGATTGGGGGGGGTTGTTAGCATTACCAAGTGTCAAAATTGAGTCTAACTTTGATCAAATGATGCGAGTCAGAAAAGTTTTTTACGGGTTGCTTCAAGAATAGATATACAGTGGAACTCGGATTCAACGAGGTCGCCGGGCCTGGCCTAAAATCTCGTTGGATCCGAGTGTTCGTTATAGCAAATATATATGAGGTTTTGTGCAGATAATTACAGGCACTGAGCAAGTAATGTGTAAAGAGAAATAACAAGTGGTGCCTAAAATGCCTGCATATTATGAGCTGTGCAAAAAAAAAGACCCAATCCGTTGAAATGAACGCTTGTGTCATCTCGATTGTTTGGCAAAAAGATGTGTTGCTGTGTAGTCTAACCAACAGCAACTTTTAAAATTTGAGTCCATAGTGCAGCGCACAATTCATTACGTAGATCTACGTCAAGACTAGCTTATCATTGTAATATTGATCAGTGTTGTGGGGGAGGGGGGGGGGCTGTGACGCGTTTGTATCTGCGACGTCCCACGCCCGGACCGATGGTTGAATATTCCGGGTTATTGTTTTATTGATTTTAAAGAGGGAAAAAAAACCAGGGAATCCATCTCCTCTCGTTGAATCCGGGTTCCACTATATTTGCCTATTCCTATTTATGACAATTCAATTTATTATGGTAACAGACCTAAATTCTGACTCCTAATACGGGATTTCCTTAGTAAAAGTATAAAAGAATGTGGGTTTGATTTATTATGTGGGTATTGCTATTATTGTATGGATTTGTTTGTCATGCTTGTACATGTCAAGTTTACAATAATATCATAATAAACTTTGTATGATATGCAATAAACAACTATTTCTTGATTCAGCTTCTTGTCATATATCATCTACCCTGTCTGATGTGTATGTAGGTCTTGTTCTCCCACCCTGAAACTGAAACCATTGTAGGGACACTGTTGGTGAGTGGTTTGCGGGTGTTCTGGTGTGGTTTGCTTCTTCTTTGCTGTCAAACATCTATCATCCTTATCTCCCCTTCTTTTTTGTGTTTGTTACTCTCTAACTTGTAACAGCTCAAATCTTCTGGCGCTCATATGACCTTATGCAGTTGCGAGTGCCATAAAACCTCTACTAAAACTAAATTAAAAATAAAAAAGGACAGTGTTGAACCAGCAAAGACTAATACTGATAGTAGCAAATAAAGCATTCCAGAATATTTGTTCGCCAGTGCTAATACTAATAATAGGATATGTAGTTTTACTTCCGCCATTGTCAATCGGGATGGGGAAAATCATTTTTTTTGGTTGAAAATTGAGTGTCCCCGTCTTTTTTCTGCTAGGATGTGTCCTTCCTACTGGGGGAAGGGGGGGGGGGTGATGAATAAATAGTCTGCTGTTCCATACCAAGGAGAACTACTTACTCATTGGTCATGTACCACTTGTTGTACACTTCACGTTTCATGTGAAAGAATGCTGGCCTTTTTCTTCCCATAAAGACGAGAACAGTCCAGACCATTTATAACAGCCTCTGTTATTCTGTCCCGGCAGAATTATGCGAATTTAGATGGCCGAATTATGCAAAGAAAATTGAAAATTATGCAAGTTACCATAAAACCGTTCGCGACGTATTTTGCACTTTTTCAACAAGAATTTTCATGTTTTCTGTACACGTACATTGACAACAGAACATATTCAGTATCAGTAATTTGTTGTGTATTTGGAAAGAAAACAGTGCACATCAGTCAAAAAAAAAACCAACCAAAAAATATAGTCTCTGTAACTTTCAGCTGTAGATCTAGAGAAAAGAAAAATGTAAAAAAAAAGAAGAAAAAAAGACATCTGGACCTCTGCTGCTCGCACATACTAAAACCAGGGACACCTGCCGAACCTGAAAATCAACAGACATGAGGACAACTTTTGATGGATTGAAAAATTGATTGAACATACTCAAGGAACAAAATCCATACTACTACATGTACCATAAACCAAGATCTTGTGTAACAAGGGAAATAACCAACTTGTCACTTAAATGAGACTTATTACGGCGATTACTCCCCTTCTGTCACATGGGGGATGCGTACATAATAGTTTTGTGGAAAAAGAGAAAAAGAAACGTGACAAAAAGCGGAGAATCCGAAATTATGCAAATGTTGAGGAATTACGCCAAAAAAACAACAACCGCGGCTGCGCATCCGACGGGGACAAGTTATTACACTAAATTACAGGGACTTGGATAACAATAACAGTGATAAACCAAATTCAAGGTGTTTTTTTTCCCCCTTCTATATAAGTGTAAGTACATGCAATTTGAAACTGGCTATATAACAGAGTTCAATTTGCGCTGACTCGGATAACAGTGATCTTGTAGCCCATGAACTTGCTTTTGATCTGTTAGATTATTAAAATTTGTCTCAACCAAGACATTTCGCCTGTTTGTATGATTGCTTGTCTAAACACAAACTTTCAAACATTAACCGCACACACACACACACACACACACACACACACACACACACACACACACCCGTACTATTGTAGTTTTGGGGTCACTGATTGATTCCATCTCGGTATCATCAAAACAGCCCACTGGAAAAGGATCTGCCGTAATTGAATATATAATTTATAGTGAGCTGAAGGTGCAATGGTACTGGTAGTTTACCCATGAAAACAGTTATAACAAAATAACAGGACTCACTAATGACAGGGAAAACATGCCACCCCCGTCTGTCCTGTTTTTTCTGAGTTAGCCTGTATTCATAAAGTGAAACCCTGAATACATGAACTGAATAGTGCCAGAGAATTTCTTGTTTACTTAACAGATCGCATTTGAAAAGAACACAAATGGAAAGGTGACTCCTTTCTTCCATTTCCATTACAGATTAGGATCAGATGTGGGGCCTTGTATAATCTATTTTTAGTCATTAGTAACATGTGCAGAATTGTCAACCTTTGGAAATTGAAAAAAAAGGGAAACCTTCTTTTCAACCTCAGGCTACACAGAATGAGGTTCAAGGGAGTTTGTAGCTCTAGCTGTTTACTTAATGATAAAGGTTATCCACACAGCTACTCAGTTTAAAAACAGAAACAAATAATAGTGCATGTACTTGTTTAGGGAATTGATAAGCCGCAGCTGCACATTATATTATATATCATTATATATATGATATATGATAATAGTTAATCTAAAAATTAGAAAAATTGGCTTTTCCTGTTAATTAGTGGGCACTCTGATGTGGTTAGCTCTTTTTTCCTATCATTTCAAACATTATCTATCATTCTTATCTCCCCTCCATCTTGTCTTTATATTATGTTACTCTTTAGTAACACCTGTAATCTTCGGCACTTTAATGACCTATTTGTGTTGCAGGTGCCATAAAAGGCTTACTAAAAGTAAAAGTAAAAGAACATTTCCAACGAGCTGTGTCTCGTCTCTCTGTCCTGTGAAACAGTTCACTCTCTCACCAATTTATCAGCAGGAAAAGTAGGGGGAAAAACTCGATG